ATCAATAAATGTCAAATGTGAATGTCTCGAATCGTCCCGTATAACATCAATAAATGTCAAATGTGAATGTCTCGAATCGTCCCGTATAATATCAATAAATGTCAAATGTGAATGTCTCGAATCGTCCCGTATAACCACTTTTTTGAGTCAAGATGGCAATTTTCATTTTTAGATATTTATTCTTGTTTTTACATTGAAAAAAACCCCTTATTGTTGGCTTCTTCTTCTTTCCTTGTGTCATTTTGCTCTGTTCGTTTTAAACAGATTCTATCCAACCGTCAAAACAAAAACAAAAAATGAAAGCTGGCTTTCGTCAAGGCTTTTTTTGGTAAAAAGAGTTCAAATTCGTGAACATTTTTGAAAAYTTTTTTATACTAGACAGATTAAGATTCCCGTTTTTCCTTCCCGCAAACGGCAAACGTGACCACGTTTTCATCGTTTCCCTACATTTCACTTTACCTTTTGCAAACCTTCTCGACAAAGACAAGTATTCTTTTGTTTATCTACTACTTGGAGATTTTTGCGATTCCTTTTCGCTAATTTTAAAGAATTTTTTAATGGTCAACTGACGTTTCACGTTTGCCGTAAACGAGAATTTTAAGCTCTCTATAGTATATTATTAATATTGGTCGTGCGCGCGACGCGACGACGGAACAAATAGTAATTATCGAGTTAATTAAGGGCGCACTTCGAGTGATGACGTCAATTAATCTATCAACTAAAATATTACCTCGGGTAGATGAACCTCTGCTTTGTTCGAGTTAATTGTTTTTGAACTCATTAAAATGCGTAACCACATCAAATAGACAAGACGAGCAAATAGCAACCGGTTACCTTCTAGAGTCAACAAGATAACGAGACATTAAATTAGTTACAAGTCGTCAAGGTTGTAAAATGGATCTACGATGACATAGGCAGAGGAATGGGTTGTGGCGGTAGCAAAGAGGTCCCAAACTTAAATAATAACAACGCTACAGTGAAAGTTAAGCCTACGGTCGGTGATCAAGAAAATGCTGAGAAAAGAGACGATGGAAATACCAACTCGATGGAATTAAACTCCATAGACTCACCGAGTCCTATTGCATTGACGCCTGATATTCATGTTAAGAACAACGTTTCAAAACCACCATTTGCCGGCGACAAGAAAGTGAAACGAGTTGAAAACGCAAGAGAAAGCTTAGTTGATTCTGTGTCGGATGGCTGGTCGGATAGTCCCGCCAAACAGACTCACACACACAACGTCTCTGACCCTCATAACGAAAACCTAATGAATTTAGAATCAGAACTTGACAGCGAGTATGGAAAGGATGGTATAGACTTAACTTCAAGATCATTTGCTGTAACTGGGCCAAACAAATCTGAAGTACTCGATCATGGAATTCAATTTGAGGTTACACAGCGATTAACAAAGGTAAACAAATCAATCATAGCTGCTCGTAAAATGAACACAAAATAAAAAGCATGGATAAAAAATTTAACTCTGCGTTTTTCTAACAGATTTTGAACAATAAAACCATATTTGTTTTTTCGCTTAATTTCGATTGATTTTGTAGTTTTTTGGCAAAACTGATCATCGAAAATATATGTTATATATTTTTTAAATTCAAACAAATTTGATTTTATTTTTATTTTACGATTTTTAACTTGTAGAATATAGTTTTCCAATAAGAGATATTTTGATATAATTGAAATCGTTTGTGAATTTTTAAGAATTATAATAACAACAGAACGTTCTTAGAGCGCGTTTTGGAGTAAATTATTTTTCTATTACTGTAGTTGGAGGTTTGATTTATTTGTTAAATATTTTAACCATGTCATTAAACGCAAGTAGTACTTCTCATGAGAATATTAATTTTGAATTATACAATTTTGATTTTCTTCAAAGACTGAAAATTATTTTTTCCCTCGCTTATTTTATAGATTTAAATTTAAAGTCGTTTCAATTAGCGCAAGAATCTTTCCTTTTCGTTATAGTTTTGTTCACTTTTTGTCAAAAAATGGCGCTCCATACAAAATGGCAGTTTCCTTACAATTTCCTTTCGTACGAATAGTGTAAAATAAAATAAAACGCAGTATTTGATTCCTCTTTATTAATTATTTTTCCTAAGTATTTAGGTATTTTATTATCATTACTGAACAAGTACTATTTTTGTTTCCGTTCGGTTATAAGTTTAGCCGAACGAAACACCAAAATGGTTTCCCATCTTTCGTGGCGTCAAGCGTGGATATTAACGAACTAAGGCAACACAAATACTAAACAAAGCACTTCCGTACTATTGTTCCTTAAACCTTTGCTCCAATTAACCATTTCCCCCCCCATTCAAACGTAGATTAAAGAAAATCCGGCTCTCCGATCTATGCTTTCTTGATGCGAAGCGCTGCCCTAGTTTTCAAAAATGTACCACGTTTTAGTACTTTCGTCAGAGTTGTGGATAATGACCGACAAAAAAGGTTGTCGCTGTTCCTTTTTCCTCAACGAAACTCTCATATCTTTATTTTAAAATATAGATCCTCGTATAGAGTGAAGGCATTTAACTCGTGAAATAAAAAATGTTAGCAACGTCGGTGTTAGTAATAGTCAAATAAACATAAAAGAAACGATGGAATTCTGGTCTACTAATGTGTTAGTCTAATGACCACTTTAAACATATAAACCGTTTTTTTCACTATTTTTTTTAGAAACATTCAGAAGAGCCGTTTGATCCATCATCCTTGGTCGATATTGATAAGTTTAAAGCTGTCAATGTTCCACAACAGGTAGGTTTTTTTGTATTGAATAAGATAAGACTCGATTCTTTTTATCTTTTATATCATTCTTTGGAAAATGCTTTGTTTGAAATTATCGATATGTGCACGCATGTACCTCAACACTTTGGTAAAAAAAATTCCTGAAAACGAGAACGATTATCAACAACATCAAAAACTGAAAACACTGACAGCTTTATAGGTCGTAATGCCGTGCTAAATACAGAAATACCTTAAGACAAATACATTGACGAATGAAAAACTAGAAAAATCGAAAAAAAAACAAAAACATTTGGGCGTCAAGTCACTTTTACAAGACGACCTTTGCGTTTCACAAGGAACTGAATGCTGTATACAGTGTAACAATTATACGTTTACAGCTATTAAAAAGAGCTGGTGAAGATTTTGTTGCGGTGTGTTACATAACAAGCTATAAAACCTCACAACGGCATGAAATTTTCCTGAACTTTGTCTGCGCATTTTCCGGCAGAATTTCTTCTGTTCTGATGCGATCTTACGCATGAATAATATATAATACAAATCAAGTTTGTTAAGCAAAATGGTCATCCTGCAACCGACATGCAACAAAAACTTCACCAATTTTTTTGTGTTGAAGTTGATGGTTTTATCTTATTAAGTGAAGTCGTGAAGAAAATGACCAAGTTTTTAATGTCATATGTGTTTTGTAGGCCAATAAATCACCTGACAAAGAGAAGACTGTTGCTATGGATACCAAACAGGAAAGAAAACGATCAATATCGAATGGGTGAGGCGATAATTATTTACGATAGATTAACACTTATTAATGCTTTTCGTATCATGTACGTGCTGTAAGTCATTACTGTACGCGTTTCCTACTCATGCGATAAACATTCTTATGGGAAGCCATTTCGATGTCACGGCATGTCGTACCGTGTACGTGCTGTAAGTCATTACCGTACATTTCCCACTCATACGATAACCTTTCTTATGGGAAGCCATTTCAATGTTACGTCATGTCGTACCGCGTACGTGCTGTAAGTCAGTACCGTATGTTTCCCACTCATACGATAACCATTCTTATGGGAAGCCATTTCAATGTTACGGCATGCAATACTGTGTACGTGCTTATAATACAAGCACGGTCACGACATGCTCATCCCAATCACCTTTCACGAGAATTTACTCTTCATCCAATAAAATGCTTTAAGCACGGCACAGACACGGTCACGGGTCTGCCAGACCAATCACATTGCGCAAAGAAATATTCTCCTACCTAAATTCTAAAAACATCACGGCCGCAGCAGGGCATGTATGCGGCACCGACTTTTTTCTACCATACGAAAACGGTTCTATGTGAGTCAGTACCGTGCGTTACCCACTCATTCTTTTGGAAAGCCAAGCACTGATTGCAGTCAGTGTTACATGTCGTAACATGTACGGGGAGTTATTACTGAAATTTTCGACTTCATCTCAAAACGCTCTAAAAAGCGGCCGAATGGTGAAAGAAAAACAAGGATTAACGGTTCGTCATAACAGACATAAATATCGCCGGTTTTTGTGTAGATGACGACGCAAGTGACTCTCCAACCGGAATGTGGGATTTTGTTTTCTGATTTTCGGGATAAACGTGATTTAGCGGGACGTGGGATCTCGGGAAAAAATAGCGCGTGATACGGACCCCTTCCCCGACCCTGAATAAAAACTGTGAATGGCCATTTCCACATATTGGATTTATGCACTGAATTCAATTCGGATATGAGAGAATCAACAAGCAACCGACATAGTGCAGTTTTCGTATGACTGTGAAAAGCTCAGTGCCGTAAGTGTGACGTGCCGTGACCGTGATCTATAGCACGTTCACCGCCGAGTGCAGTGAACGCCTTCCCCATCGCAGTCACCCACCCCTCCCTTGGGTGCTTATACAGCCTTTATATACTCACTTCAAATGCTTTGTCCTTCAGTCAAGTTCCACAAGTACCAACCGAATACAATGAATATTATGATGAAGACGAAAAGGCACTGATGGAGAGCATAGAACAGGACTTTCTGGGGACAGCATATTCAACCCTCCCAGGAGCTGTAATATAACGTTCACATTGGTAAGGACCATTGTATTTTGATACCAGATAGCATCTATATGGTTACAGATTGGACATCTTATCATCTCATTCCAAGGCAGATGCCACATCTTGGATTCCAGATTGTACATCTTGGATACCAGATTGCACATCTTGTATTCCAGATTGCACATCTTGTATTCCAGATTGTACATCTTGGATACCAGATTGCACATCTTGGATTCCAGATTGCACATCTTATATTCCAGACTGTACATCTTGTATTCCAGATTATACATCTTATATTCCAGATTGTACACTTTGTATTCCAGATTGTACACTTTGTAT